GCGGTTTAGGGTTTAGGGGTTATTTATGGAGGCAATATGGGGATTCATTAATGGAAAAAAGGAATGGAAACTACTGTATACCATAGGTGAAATAGTGGGGTTAGAGTCCGGAATAAGGGAATAACGAGTATATATATAGGAGTTTCCAAGGGATTGAGGCTTTGGGTAAAAGCAAAAACCCCTCTTGCCTCTCCGCCTCCCATCTCGCACATGTCCACCACCAGGTCGTAGGAGCCAGCTGCGAGGAACTTTTCGCCTTGCCTCTCACGTTCACCATGGCAGCCGTTATTGTCCACAAGCTTCTCCCCGCTCAAGTACAGGAGCGAGCCTAGGAGTCATCATGGCATGGACAGTCAAGGCAAAATTTTCGTGCATTGAACTGCAATCGCCCGCGCAAGATGCAAAGAGATGAAAGGATGCGGAGGAAAGTACGGACGATGAAAGGCAATTTCTTGTCTTGCACATCACCCTGGCTGGTGGGCGCCTATTTTTCAGTGCTGACCACAAGACTACAAGAGTTTACAAGATGGATCCCGAGCCCGAGCGCCATCATCTGAGCTGGTGAAGAACTTGTAGTTGCCAGGAGTCTTCACGGAGAGCTGACCAGAACACCTCTCAAGTCATAGCCGTCCACTGGTTACCGATGCAGAGGATGCCCTGGCCTCAGGCAGAAATTGTTGCCTTGGCGCGCTCCCCGGAATCTTCCCATCTCCTGCAGGCAGCAGACTCCACATGCAACAGCAGGCAGCTTCACAAACCACGCGGTCCATAAAGATGTCAGGCACCACCACGGAATTACCAGGGCTCCTTATAGCATGAAAGAAAGCAACTTGCATGATACCTGTCGACACAGAAAGAAAACAACTTCCTGCCATGAGTCCCTGTTCCAAGGTCAGGGACCATGCACTGCGCTTGGTTGTAGAAGTAGACGCACTCGAGACCGTCCGACAAGTGCTGCAAAAGGATTCAACGAAATGCCAGAAAGCTTGCAAGGAGAGACTTCAGAACTCCTAGCTGATGACTGCGCTTCGCCCAGGCCTTGATCTCATGTTTCAGGACAGACCGGGGCACTGTGACCTTGGCATTGCCACTGTCGGGCCCTTCGTAGTGCATCTTGAAACTCTCCCCGAGCCCTTTGTCGCACATGGACACCTCCAGCCTGAGGAGTTTGGGGATTGGCCTTATGTTGGGGTTATATTAGTAATGTATTAGGG